AGTTGCTAATTGAGCCAGAGTTGGCGTCGAATGTGCAGTGGTTAGTTTTTAAATTTATGTTAATAATCTATACATCTGTGCAGCCATTGTGCAGTGGTTAGCACTGCATTATGGCTGCACAGATTTATAGATTATTAACATAAAATTAAAATAATAGATAACCCAAAATTGAGCTCTGCGGGACCCACACAATATTGTAAGTTTAAATGTATGAAAACCCTAGTTTAAATATTTTAATATTTAAATAATTAACTGAAAGAAAACAGTTAATAACAATTATCATAATATCATTAACTAAGTATTTATGACGATCTTGCGATGGTCTTTTTTTTTGTATTTTTCGAATAAAATCTAATACGTAAACAAGTAACGTTACTTAAGTTACGTTACTCGTTTATATCGAAAAACTCTTCAAAATTATTTCATTTAAGTTACCGCAACATCTAGAGCTAGGCCTGTAAATCGAGCCGAACGAGCCAAGCTTGCCTGGGCTCGGCTCGGCTCGTTTACATATTAAGAGTGTTCAGGCTTGACTCGAGCTCGTTTCAAACATGAGATTCTTTGTTCGAGCTTGGTTCGTTAAGGATTAGTATTGTTTGGACTCGGCTTGTTTTACATGTTACTCAAGCTCGACTGGTTTAAAACTCGAAATAATTATTGTAACCTGTTAGTTCACGACTTTACCTGATTAAATAGCAGAGTAAATAAACAAATATTCAATATATTATCACAAAACATTTAGTTGTGCAACTTGAAAAAATACCTCTCTACAAGTTAAAAAATGGCTCCTTCAACAAGATCATTGTGAAAAAAGTTTGAAAAAAAAGTTTTATATATTTACTTTTCTGTTTTGCATAATTTGTACACTCTTAAATTCATTAAAAATGGTCTAAAACATATTGGGCCTGTTGGCAAAAGACAATAGTCAATAGCAGCCTCACGTAATTAAATATTATATATATATATATATATATATATATATATATATATATACTGTATGATATTTTGTATTTGCAATAAAATACAAAAAACTCTTGTACGTATAAGCGTGCTCAATAATAAATGAATAGGATTTATTTATATTATTTAATAGAGCACTATATTAATTTATAAAAATAAAGAAAACAACTTTTTATGATACTAATAGTTTCATGCCTAAAGGCAATCATCTGTCATGTAATACAAAACAAGAAACAAAAAAAACCGTTAAAATATAAAGTTTCAGTAGAGTGTGCTCCGTCGTCAAAACAAAACAAAAACAAAAAGATAAGAAAAAACTAAAAACGGCTGCCTAATCACCCGTATCGAAATTTGAAAGGAGGAATTTGCTTTTATGTCTACATTTAGATACTAATTCATTATTTAATAAGTTATCATAGGTGTACGATATTATGAAATACTTTTTGTATAGACATAAGTTGCATCGTTTTATTGTAGGATTGTAAGATCTACATTGTTTTAAAATTTTCCATTTAATTGTCGGGTTTACTCCATTTTCTTTTAACTTCCATACTTCCTTAGACAACTCAGTATCGTTTTTATATTTTTCGATGTTAAAAGATTTTGTATGATAAGCGTATCTAAGTTTAAAAGCAGTTTCACTTACTCCAAAATACACTTTTTCAATCCCGTCTGGAATGCCTGGATATAGAGTGGCTTGATACACTATGTTATAAACGAGGCACTGTTGATTTAAAGGGCACTTGCTTTTAGTAATACAATTGCAACTTTTATCTGATTCTGGGGGGATGTTTTTCATAATATGACGGTTATGAAAGTTAACGATTGATTTAATGTTTGGCATACAACTGTAACTCACCTTTAGAGTATTTCTATTAAAAATCTTGTGGTATTTATGGCCAACTGGAAAGTGCTTGTCAATTAAATCCAAAAAGATTTTACCAATTTTTGTAGAAACATTTTTACTATATGGGGGGTTAAACCAGATAATATTGCGCTTACGGTTTTTTGGTAGAGGTTGAATGAGTTTCGGAATATAATTAAGTTTAAATTTGTAACCAGACTTTTTTAATGCATCCTAATACAAATGAGCAGAGCTTCGAAAGCTAGTGTCATTAGATGAATTAGCTGACAACCTTAATTCTATAGAACGAGGAAGTTGCTTTATTATGCTAGGAGGGTGATTGGAATCAACATGTATATAATTTAGTTCATTGATTGGTTTACAAAATGGTCTAAAAGATTGATCATTGAGGTTAAGTGTTACATCAAGGAAGTTCACAACTTTCATGTTACATTGTATAGAGATAGAAAGATTGTTATTTTTAAAAAAACTTATATTTATGTAACTTTATATTTTAACGGTTTTTTTTGTTTCTTGTTTTGTATTACATGGCTGATGATTGCCTTTAGGCATGAAACTATTAGTACCATAAAAAGTTGTTTTCTTTATTTTTATAAATTAATATATATATATATATATATATATATATATATATATATATATATATATATATATATATATATATATATATATATATATATATATATATGTATATATATATATATATATATATATATATATATATATAATATACATATATATATATATATATATATATATATATATATATATATATATATATATATATATGTATATATATATATATATATATATATATATATATATATATATATATATATATATATATATATGTATATATATATATATATATATATATATATGTATATATATATATATATATATATATATATATATATATATATATATATATATATATATATATATATGTATATATATATATATATATGTATATATATATATATATATATATATATATATATACATATATATATATATATATATATATATATATATATATATATATATATATATATATATATATATATATATATATATATATATATATATATGTATATATATATATATATATATATTCGAGCTTTAATCGAGCTTATATAAACGAGCCTATGATGTTCAAGCTCGGCTTATTTAATAAACGAGCATAATTTTTTGTTCATGCCCGGCTCGTTTACTATTCGAGCCAAACATGAACGAGCGCTTGTCGAGCCGATCACCATGCCGTTCACGAGCAAGAGCCAGGAATTACAGCCGGAAGTGCATTTAACCAGGAAGTTCACGCCTCCTTACTTACAGTGACGCGAAATATGTCCAATGCTCGTTTTGAACCTGAATCTACTGCTTATAAAGCAAGTGCTCTAACCACTGCGCCACGGCTGCATAAATTGCTTGAGTTCTAGAATAATCATATGATTTAAAAACTTTTTATTATATAGTTATACAGGAGTTATACATGCCCCCCTGTTCCCCACGGTGTCGTTGGCCCTGATACAGGAGTTATACAAGGGTGATTGGATAAATAGAATAATTTTTTATAAAATAGTAAAATTAATCACAATTTTTTGCATAACATATGAATATATTTTTTATAACATATGTTACAAAAAATATAATTTTTTTGTAACATGTTTTCAATAAATAAGACAATATATTCTCAATGGTTAAGACAAATATACCTTATATGTTTTCAATGGATAAGACAAATATATCTATTATGTTTTCATTTTGAAGCTTCTTTTTAAAAAAATTTAAAAAAGTGTAAAACTTGCGATATTAATAATAGGTAATATTATTCAAAAATTTGCTGCTGAAATTTACTTATTTTTTATAGTTTTCTTATAACTAATAAAGAAATCAGGGAGAGTAGTTATGTTTCTGAAAAAAAGTTATTTTTAGTTCTCCTTAATGAAACAAACGTTAAACTTTTTTGGTGGTAACATCGATGAAGCTTTTTTGAAACATTTCAGTATGTTAAAAAAACTTGTATATTGAAATTTCACTTTAATGAAATTTTATTTATTATTAAATTATTGAAAAAAATATTTTGTGGTAGCTTTAAAGAAACTCTTGTTGCTGTAGCTTTAAATAAATGAAATAATTTTGATCGACTTTTTTAATCAAATAATAAATTCAGTGTGCATCATGCGTGTAATTTTAGCAACCCAATGGAGCTAATTATTTTTATTTAGCTTTTCTTTAAAAATTGGATTTGTTTGAAAATATTCACAAAAGATAGTCTAATTTGGAAATGCTTTCAAATGCTATTTTCTCTAATCTAAGGTTAGAAATATAGCAACAGTTTAAATTATTGAATTTTATTTTTTCGAAAAAGTTATTAAAAAAATTTTATAGTTAAAGGCAACTGCGTTTTTTTAAATTTTTAAAACAATCTTACCATTATTATATCGTCACGATAATTTCATAATTGTTTAATTCATTTTTTAGGGGGGTTAAAATGTATAGTTCTGCCAAGGCAAAAGGAAGCAAGTTTAATGTTAGAGATATAAAAATATCAAAATTAAATTTAAAATAAAAATCTCTAAAATTAGAGATATATATATTTTTTAATCTAATTAGCAAGTCCTATAAAATGGTGTAGAAAAATTAGTATGATTTATACTAACTGTTAAGAATGGTTTTTCCGTTTTTTACGTCTCATGGACTTAGCCTCGGCAGGGCGATATATGACCAACCCTCTATTTTTAAGCCAATCAGAAAATAACTATTTTCATTTGTTTCATTGTGATGTAAGAGAAAACAAAGCCATTTTTTTTTTTCTTTTTTTTTTAGGTTTATCAAGATGTGAAAAATGATTAAGGCGATTGTGAAATGATTGTTAGTATATCTCAAGTCTAAAAACGCTGTCTATTCTTTAAGTAAACTATAACCTCAAATCATTAACGTGTTTAAAAGCACGTTGATTAACTTTGAAATAACAAGAATGTTTATAATAGAGTTTAGAGGTGATATAATGAAATGAAGTAATCCCTTTACATTTTAATAAATCCAACAAAGAGAAAATTGTTTACAACCAATAAAGACGAGGCACAAGTTTTACGTCATGCTTAGTTCATGTTTACTTAAAAATTTAATGAATGAAATCTTATTGCAAAAATTACAAAAGTAATTGTTATTGTTTTAAAAGCACATAAAACTGAAACTAAAGTATTTTGTGTCATTAAAAAAACGACGTTTTAATAAAAATAAACATGATTTTCTTAAAGTTCACAACGTTATGCGTTTTTACAGTGTTGATTTTAACTAAAAAATGCTTTAGCGATGATTTGTTTTCTACTTTGTGCTCAAAAATATTTTTTAAACAACCACAAAATGAAGATGTATTATTTTATAAGGAAGTTATCAATGGCGTATATATCAAGACAGATAAAGTTATTGATAATTTTCCTCTCTACCTCAACGAAAGAGGTAACATCTATTTCCAATATTCACAAACAAACAATGTGTTCTTTTTTAGTAAACCGTCCCCAGCTAAAAATATCTATTTAGGATTAGGAGCAGACGCAGACAAAATAAAAATGGCTAACCCAAAAATCTGGACCAAAAATGCAAATAGATACAACGTTTTTGGAGGTGTGGTGAAGAAATGGTTTCAATGGAATCAAAAATACATTTATTTAAAAGAAGATTTACAAGTCGAGTGCTGGAATTTTACGGACTGTCAATTTCGAGACTTAACTTTTAATTATAATTTACCTGGTTATAATAATCCAATAGATGATTACTTCTTACCTCTTGAAAACACATATGTTTTTAATAGACAAATTTATAAACATTCAAATTTTAATGTAACAAAGTGGTATCTTTATTATTTTAATTCGTATTGGAATATTGGACCAAATTATACGTCAAATATGGTTAATTGGTACGTAATTGATCATGCATTAAAACCAGAGTTTATTACAAACACATGGTATAAATATAACGGTATTAAATCAACTTTTGAGCAACAAGTTGGTGTAACTCTTCAGTGTCGAGGTTTAAATAAACCGTGTAGTAAAGATCGATGTATAAACAATGGCACATGCAGTGTCAATCAAATAAATAGGACTACTTGTACATGTCTGTTTAACTACAATGGCGATGACTGCAGCCAAAAGAGTTTTGGGTGTAAAAATGATGAAGATGTAATTATAGAAGCTGGATCATTAGTACCCTACATTTGCTTATCTGGTACCAATGAAGTTTACGATGTTTTGTGTAAAAAAAGCAGTTCCGGAGAGTATGTTTGGACAAGCAACAAGAAATGCACAGTTCTAACTACTACAAAATCTACCACTATTACTACTACAACTGAAAAAATACCGAAGATTTTATTTAATGCAGACAAATATTATTGGATCTATATTTTAGCTATAACATTGGCTGCTGTCACTCCAATTTTAGGCCCCTTGATTGTTTGGAGTTATAGAGACGATTCCAACTATTTTAGGATACTTTCATTATGGCTGTATTTTAGTAAGTTAAATTTTTAATCATAATTTCATTATGGCTGTATTTTAGTAAGTTAAATTTCGTATTATATAATATAAGTTTCATATTTTTATATTTTTTATATATATATATGTATATATATATATATGTATATATATATATATATATATATATATATATATATATATATATATATATATATATATATATATATATATATATATATATATATATACATATATATATATATTTATATATATTTATATATATTTATAATATTTAGACTAAAAATGTAAAAAATATAACATTAAAAATATGCTTTGATATATCTACATATATACACATACCTCTCTTTATTCCTATAAAATTTATCAGCTCATTAAAGTAATATTTTTTAGGTATGGCGATACTAATTTTCCTCAAGGTTCTTATATCTACTTTTAATCTTTATACTTATGGACCAAAGTTGTTTTCAACTATTGATACTATTGCAGTAATTTCGATACCAATTTTTTACTTGTACATTTTGATAGAAGCGCAATTTTGCAATGAGAAAAAATATCTTGATAGCACATACGATGGTGATGAAATCGATAGTTACTTAAATATGATCTACGAAAAAGAGCCTCTCATTTTTATAATTATTGAGTGCTACCATTATGAAACTAGAACTCGTACTATTACTTATACGGATGCTAATGGTAATTTACAGAGCAGAGTGGAAACATATCAGGAAAAGGTTGTTTCACACACTGACGCATTAAATTTTAGTTTTAGAACTTGGAGAGATGTATCCGATCGAAGTCAAGTTCCCAGTGCTCATGCCAGAGTTACGCGCATAAAACTAACAAAAATATTTACTTTTCGCGATGAACAAACATCTAAAGAATTTTCAAAAGTTGAATCAAACTTTATTAAAGAAAATAAAAATCGCGATACACACATCAACTATTATACTGAAATCAATATACATGGATTTAAAGAACGTATAATGGGTGTTAATAGTAACCGTCCGTTTTGGTTAAACAAAGTTTGCTTTCAACTCGCACACTTTTTGACGTTATCGTGGCCGTTTAGATGGCTACTAAACTGCAGTACTCAAAAAGTCGATCATTGTATAGTTAAAGAAATTTCTATTATCGAAAATAATGAAACGCTACCTACTGCACCAACCATACTTGAACAAGCTAATTATTCTGAACACACCCCCTTCATTGCTGAACAAATAGAATTAAAGTTAAACCCGCTTACGTCTACCGCTGATTTTTGCCCTTACCCTGTTCCACCCTATCCTGATGTACCTCCTCCACCTTACAGTGGTCCCTTACATTGAAAATAAAATGACATTTTTTTGTACAACTTCTTGTTAGGATTATTTATAAACTAGATTATATTTACCACTGATTACTTTTTATATATTTAAACCAATTTAAATAAATATTATTTCTATGAAATGAAAAAAAAAAAATTAATATATATTTTTAACAACCTTTATATGCAGCTATTAACATGCTTTTTATTAAATTACTGTAAATTATTGCTAAAACTTGTAGTCAATTTTTTTTTTGTTCATATAAATATAAAATAATAGCACTTGAAGGTTAAATTCCACTTTAACCTTCAAGTGCTGTAAATAAAATAAGATCATTTACAGTACTTGGAGGTTAAAATCTGGCGGTCTTTTAACCACAAGGGTAAATGACCGCCGTCTCACACAAATAAAACTTTTTTTATTCAAGAGTATTTGATTTTTAACAAAACAAAAGAGTTTTTTTAAATTTGAACAAAGCTCGGTGTAGTTAAGGCACTTTTAAAATATTATAGCGTCTGTATGACATTTTGTTGGTTATAACATATTTCCGTGAAATGGTCTGGTCTGTGAATTATGAAAAGACAAAAAAAATTAAAATAATAAATTTTGCGGTATCATAAAATTAAAATGTTTGTAGCGAAAAAACCCAGACCGTGGATTTTTTTTTTTTTTTTAAATCATCTTAAAATCACAATCGCTCGTCCAAATTTAAATAAGATTTTATATTAATACGTTTTTTAGGTGAAATGAACATTATAGTTTAACAATATGATCTGTTCTGATTGTTTAATATTTTATATTTTTTCATAATTATTAGCTCTTTCTTGGTCGGAATTCCAGTATTTTTTGTGAAAATTGATAAAAATCACAATATTGTGTTTTGACAACTATATATAGTTAATATAAGTCAGAACCGATTAGAACTAGGATCAGTAGTAAATTAACTTTTTAAAAAGATTTTAACTAAATTCATGTTAATGTCAATGAGCGAAATTGATCTAAAGACTCCAAAATAGTGTTCTTTAGATACATTATTACAGGTAGTAAAAAGATTTTGAAAATTATATATAAAAAAGAAAATTTTCTTTAAATATTATAAAAACCTTAAGCAAAAAAAATTATAACATTTAAAGATCTTGATTGGGCATAATATGCTGACAAAACCATGCTAATCCCAAATAAAAGTATTCAAATATTATGTAAATCGCCTTAACTACACCGAGAGTGCTAAGAGCCTTAAATTAGGCAAAGGGATAAAATTAAAGATGATCTCTACCATTTGAACAATTTAGATGCATCACACAAAAAAACTTTTATTTAAAAGAAGTTGTTCTATAAAAATAGAAAAGATAAAAATAGAAAATTGGGGAAAAAGTATAAGAGTCACAAGTAAGGAAACGGATAAAAATGAGGAGGCCTAAGTCCATTTAAGCATGTTAGGGAACCATTACAAAAACAATTTGTAAACTAAATTTTGTATAATTTAAATAAAATTTAAAATAACAAAAACATTTGAAAATATTTACAATAGTATTGTATATATGGTATTTAATCTAATTTTTATTCTGCTCTTGAACTTTAGAAAAGTATTCTTCTTTTTGACAAAATTTTGCAGATGAGTGTAAGTTAGCATTTGCTAAATTAAGTAAGTTCTTCCTACCTATCAAAGATTTTTATAATCCAAGATTTCTCGACAAACTACAGTCAGTTTACTAAACAGTTTGAAGGCTTCATTCGAAAGTTAAACACAGAAAGATTTGGAATATATATGATCACTTTGATTCATGCTTGTAAAACATATATATATATATATATATATATATATATATATATATATATATATATATATATATATATATATATATATATATATATATATATATATATATATATATATATATATATATATATATATATATATATATATACACACACACTGAGGCATATTCGTTTAGACCCATCAATTTTTTTCTCTTTATCTTAATTTTTTTCTATGAATTGTCAACTGATCGATCAGTTGACAATTCATAGAAAAAAATTAAGATAAAGAGAAAAAAATTATGCATATATGCATGCAAGTTATTATCAAAATAATTATTGTGTTGTGGGCTAATAAAAATCACAAAAAAAATTTTCTATGTGTCTTTATTAACATAAGAGTATGCTTGATATACAAAAGTACATTCTTTAATTGGAATATATCTATAGACGCAGTCATATTTTTGACATTAAAAGATGGAAATTAGTAATGCGTATGTCCTCCATTACACTGGATCACCTCAAAAATTCTGCCTTTCATTGACTCCACTAGTCTTTGAAGTGTAGTTTGATCCAACTCGGACCATGTTTTAAGGATTTTACACTTTAACTCAGTAACAGTTTTAAATTGGTTTCCGGCTGCTTTAGCATCATAAACTTTTCTTGCTAGCATTCCCCACACGTTCTCAATTGGATTTAAGTCCGGGCTACAAGCTGGCCATTCGAGAACCGGGATGTTGTGGTCTTTAAACCATTTCATAAAATGCCTAGATGTGTGAATTGCAGCATTATTTTGCTGAAATATGGCATTATCGTCCATGTTTTCATCCATATAAGTTATGAGAACATCATCCAACGTTTCTGTATACTTTATCGAGTTCATTTTAGGTAAGCCACAACACAGAGTCAATTTTCCTGAATAAGAAAATCTACCCCAAACCAATAAGCTTCCTCCACCATAATTTCGTTTTGTTTGTGGGTCATTTACTCCTTTTAGATCATGCCAATAACAACTGTAAGAGTCCGAACCATCTAAATTGAACTTTTTTTCATCTGAAAATATTACATTTTGCCACTCATGAGTCCAATGCATATGGTTTTTAGCAAACTGTAATCTAGCAATTTTATAGTGTTTTTTTAACATTGGTTTTTGGTGTGGTTTCTTCCACTTTACGTTTCGTGTTGTACGTAGAATATGTGCAACATGTTTATTGGTGACAGGCAATAATAATTTATACTTTATTTGTGTTGCATTCAATTTATTTTTGGTTGCTTTGAAGCGAATTCGATTAATTTGCCGATTTGTTAATACTTTGTTGCCGTTTGTTGCTTTTTTTACACCGTAATTGTCACCTTTTGCAATGTAGTTTCGTACAACATGGTCAGATCTTCCAATTTTTCTTGCTATTTCTCGTATAGAAAGTTCTGGTAAGATTTCTGTGCCACGATATAAATTAATTTTTATTTTTTCAGCATCTGTCAAATACTTTCCTTTAGGCATTTTGTAAAATGCGATAAAAATGATACTGGCACAGCAAAAGATCAAATTACACTAAAATTTATCAATTTATTTGTGTAAAAGTGATTAAAAATCAATAATTACCGTTAATAAACTGATTGCGTCTATAGATGTATTCCAATTAAAAAATGTGCTTTTGTATATCAAACATACTCTCATGTTAATAAAGACACATAGAAAAAATTTTGTTTTTATTAGCCCACAACACAACAATTATTTTGATAAAAACTTGCATGCATATCAGTTGACAATTCATAGAAAAAAATTAAGATAAAGAGAAAAAAATTTAACGTCTAAACGAATATGCCTCAGTGTATATATATATATATATATATATATATATATATATATATATATATATATATATATATATATATATATATATATACAGGGGTGGGACCGCAAAATGTGAACGTTTTTGTTTTATTATAACTATTTTCTCGTTAGATGTAGTTGAGTTTAGTTGATAAAAAACGAAAGACAAAGTACTAATGAATATGTAAACAAAGTAAAATATAATATGTAAAAAAACAAAAATTGAACATTTAAAATAGTTCATATTTAACAGAAAATTAATTATTACAATCAGAAAAGTGTTCACATTTTGCGGTCCCACCCCTGTATTATATATATATATATATATATATATATATATATATATATATATATATATATATATATATATATATATATATATATATATATATATATATATATATATATATATATATATATATATATATATGTATATATATATATATATATATATATATATATATATATATATATATATATATATTTATATATATGTATATATATATATATATATATATATATATATATATATATATATATATATATATATTAAATATAAAAATGAATATTGAAGAGCATTCTATTTTCTTTCAAATAAATTTATTTATAAAAAAAATTACTTGAGGTGCTAGTTATATATATTTTTTTGACATCTCATAATTTAAAATAATTAGTTCGGCCAAAATAAACAATCTACTCAATTATTTTAAACTTCCTCCAAAATTTTATCTCTCTATATTTTATCTTAAATTTTTGCACTTATTTGCAAATATTTATATTTATTTGAGAAATAATAAATTACAATATTTCAGCAACAAAACGAACAAATTGACTGTAAAAATTTTTGATTAATGAACAAAACATCTTCATGAGAGAAACTGAAAATAATTTTTACACAACGCATGGCACTTTTAGTAGAATAACTAGCCGGTATTAAAGATACAATATAAGTCAAAATATTCCATGTCCAGGGAGACTCAGCATTTAAAATAAAAGAAATACACGTTCACTTATTCGCATAGTAAAAAAAACTTGAGGTTTAGCATCTACTGATCTCAGTTGAAAAAGAATTAAGTTTCTGGTGATGTTGCAAGTGCTCAAACAATTAGAAGAGTACTACAAAAACACAATAACTTGTGGCGAGCTGCTGAAAAAACCGCGTCTATTAATAAAACATCAAAAAACAAGAAAAAACTGGTGCTTAGCTCATAAAATTTGGTATATAAACATGTGACTCAATGTTCTTTTTAGATATGAAATAAACTTTGAAGTTGATTTAAGGAAAAATCAAGTAATGCTGAGAAGAAAGCCGCATGAAAAAGTGAACCCAAATGTTTTACGTATAGAATAAAATATGGTGGTGGTAGTATAGGCATCTGGGCCTGTAGGAACTATGAAGGTATCAGTTGTTTCAAAATATCTTATGGAAGGCTCGATTCTAAAAGCTATTTAGACATATTGGGTAATTATTTAACATCTTCTATTGACTTTTTCTCAAAAGAC